TGTGTTTCCTGGACGGGTCTGCCTTTTACAGCTGCTTTTTGTCTCCTTGAACCCCAGTCGGCCTCGGCAGATGGCCGCTCACACTGAGCCTGGTTCTACTGGAGGTTTCTTCCTGTTAAAAGGGAGTTTTTCCTCTCCACTGTCGCTACAAGCATGCTTAGTGTGAGGGATTGTATTTGAGTCAATGAGTCGATGCAATCAACTGGTTTTCCTTGGATAAAAAACTTTGTATCAATTTGACTGGATGATCTGGTTGAACTGTAAAGTGCCTTGAGATGACATGTGTTGTGAATTTGGCGCTATATAGATAAACTGAATTGAATTGAATTGAGTTGATTTTAACAGATTATTTTAGATTAGGTTAAAAAAAAAGTCTTCAGCATCAGACAAGATTCTCCACAGCTTAGTAGGCTTCATAGGTAAGACAGATTGCCGCTTAAAAGCACAACAAATTAATCTAGAGGGCAAATATACACACAGTTAAAATGGAGAATGACTATTTAGAATTTAATAACTGAGAGGGAAATGAGAAAATTATTGAAAATTTCATAAATACATTAATATATTAAGAATGTACTTTTTTTTTGAAGGATTTTTGTATTCTGTTTATATAGTCTGTTTATAGACTCTTTAGGAGATTCCTGAAGGCAGACAGGGACGCTGCTGTTCTTTTCGCGCTTGGTAGTTCATTCCACCATGTTGGAGCAACACATGATAACAGCCTGGATTGTCTTAAGCGTGGAGTAGGCACTGCTAGACGACAATCCATTGCTAACCGGAGTGACTGTGTTGTGACATAACAATATTGCAAATTTAAAATATACAATATTGCAAATATTAGAAAAAAAATCTTGTCAAATAAAAATATGGAAATTTATGAAGAAATACTATAGATAAATGTTTTGAATTCCTTGTAAAATCTTACAGTATATAGTTTCCAGAGAGTTTCACTGATCTTTTGTTTTTCCAACGAGTCTAGCCCAATAACACTAGGGGAACATTAGGGTGTGTCCCTTAGTGTTTTTGGGCCTTTTTGTCCACGAGCAGTTTTTGCCTTGGACCTTGGTTTTTGTCAAGTCTCTGTAATTGTTAAATCCTGATCAGTTCTTAATCTTATGAGTCTGTATATGTTATTTATTCCCTGGCATTCATTGGTGGACAAGGCTATCATTGTGGATCACTACGGTCTCAAAGCCTGAGATGTGGCTTTGTAACCATTTCCAGGTAAAAAAATAAAATAAAAAATTCCCTGTCTTTGATTCTAATCGGTTATTTGATTTCTTTTAATACATTAGTTCTGCATTTTAGATCTTTTTACCTATTAGATGTAGTTAGGTTCTATATAAGTAACTTTAATTGGAAAAAAACTTTTCCAAAACAACCTGTTTGATAAGACTCAGTCATGATTGGATCAGACTCCACCAACCCATTATAATGAAATCACCTCTTGAAAACCCTTGATTATCTGAAACAGTTTGAAGTGATAAGGAAGCAATCAGAAAAAATCTGATTGAATCATTGTCCAACATAAGGTTTAGACAATTTACAGAAATCTGACATAATCTATTTATATGTCTAGGATGCAATGATAATAAAGAAGGTTTGGGTAAATCTGAAGAGTCCACTCAACCAGAGGCAGCCTCAGCTCCACAGAGCAAAGAGGTTGCACAAGAGGAGACTTTTCCTAATCAAATAATTCAGGAAAAGAGACCTTGCTGAAAGCAAACAGGAGAGCAAAAATAATGTTTCCTACCATTAAGAGCAGTAAAAATATGGCTCATTTTTGTGGTAGAATATTTATTCTTGTTATTCATCTGTAGGTATGCCAATACACAAATACAATACAAAATTAAATATTCGTAAGATGTTTATTGTTTCTGATTGCTCGGCTCCGACTGAAAGTAACCTCTCACCAGAACAAACGCTGTGGGTCTGAAAGATGTCTCAAAGATTGATAACAGATGACATATCTTGAGGTACTGGCTCTAAACTGTCAATGAATTTGCATTAAAAAATAAATAAAACATGCAAGAAAAGTTCTTTCTTGAAGTGCATCTATTAATATGATTGGTGGAGAATTTCAAGTGAGTTAAGTTCATCAGCATCTGCTCCATCCTTAAGATGCGTTTACATTATTTCTTGTTTGAAGTTCCTGAAAAGCATGAATATTCTGTCTCCCCATCGTTTTTAGCGAAGTTCTGTTGTTTTTCTTAACATTAACGATGGATCCGGACTGATTTAAAGCAGTAAACCCTCCAGTCTCCCACAAGCTGAGCCCAAATAACCAGCTGCTACTTTACCTGCACAGCAATAGCACTTTCAGTCTGAAGAACGGTTGATGTAGCAGAAAGTTGTTCAGATTTGTCTATTGAGGCATTTCACAGAGCGAGGGAACTGACATCCTTTGCAGTGGCGTGCACAGACTTTTCAAAGGGCAGGGGCGGAAAGACAAAAGAGGGCAGATAACCCCCATCCTCGCCACTGTAGATGGAAATTTTGCATATGATTCCCAACAAATGGGCTATAAGGGGTGGCAGCAGTCTGTCCGGTTGCTCTTTCTCTGAAGAGAGAATCTAGTCGAGTTTGATGTTAAAATAAAACTAAATACAGGACAATTAAACACCTGAAAAAAACGTGTCCTCAAAAAGTCATTACCAAGCCAAAAAAAATATTTAAAAAAATCCCAGAATCTGGTAGAGACAATAACTGCACACCATCCTTTATTTATTTAATTTTGAGGATAAAAATTTAGTCACTGATTTATTAAACCTTTTTCATTCTATTTCCGTCCTTATTTTTCGAAAAGTTATCATTTATTCTTGATGCCTAGAATTGTTTCATATCAATACATGAAATGGTTAAACAAGGAAAAACTAAGTTCAAAGATTTTGGTTTCCTTAGAAATATTACCAAAAATAAATAAATGATTCTCAGTTGACCCCCTTTTTCTTTTATCAATTACATGATTTTTTATTTATTTCATTAATAATTTTAATTAATGCCAGAAAACTGTCTTTAGAGATGAAGAAACTTTCATGACAAGAAAGAAACTTTGAGAAAAGTTTTAAAGGGAAAACCTCCTCCGAATACATCGGTCCATCTAACTACTGTAATGACAACATCTTCTGTTTTTTTAGGAAACTAAGAACCAACAAGGCAAATGAAAAACTAATTGGAAGCTGAACATGTGGTGTAAAAAACAAATTAACATTTAGGAGAAACAACAGCACCTCAACAGCGGTGGAACTATCATAGTAGGGGGCTGCTTTGCATTAAATTATTCTCTTATCCTTCTTTCATCATCCTACGAACTAACTGATCATCACTTTGGGACTTTTAGCTCAGGTACACCTGCACTGGAAAAAATTCGAAACCTAGATAAGTCATTTTTTCTTAAAATAAATGCATTTGTTCTTGGATTAAAAATAAGACAATTGACATTTGAAATACGGAAAACACAATCACATTATCTTATTTCAAGTGCATGTTATGTAATTATCTTATTTTAAGAGTAAAAATACTAACTCCATTGGCAAACTATCTCATTTACCTACTCAAATTAAGGATAAATACACTTAATTTAAGAAATGTATTACTTTTTTAAAGATAGTTTTTAAACTGTGGAGGAACTATTGAAAGCAAACCTGCAAGTGCGCTTTTTAAATAGGTAAAAAAAAAATGTTTAGCTTCAATCTGATGAGGATCATGTTCAAAAACCCTAAAATATAGCTGAATTGGAACAGTTCTGCTAAAATAGAGGCATTAACTCCTGCACAGAGATACAGTATAAAAGACCAATGCAAGTTATTACAAACAGTGGAAGGCAGCTGTAACCAAGGGTGGCGCATTTGGTCCAACTGGGTTTAGATTTTGCAACTTGAGTCAGTTTAGCAGGGGCGGAGCTAGATGTGTGGCCAGGGGTGGTCATGGCCAATCATTGGCCACCCCTGTGGCCACCGCTACCATTTTTTCCCTCTAATACAGATGGTGGCAGCAGTAATACTCTGAAGGGGAATGTTCAAACTTATTAACCATTTAAATGTTTCATACATTAACAACTACTTGACAACAGAAACACTGTTGTAAATTATGCACATCAATATACTAACATTAAAGATGATAGATACAGAATTTGTGCTCTTTTCAGAACCAAATTTTGAATTATTTGGGGTAAAGATAAAATGATGTGCCTCTGTATGTCATTTAGGAGTCTTTAATGAATAGATAAATAACTACTTTAATAATAATAATAAATAAAAAAAAATTTTGCAGAATGATTATTGATAAAAGTAGGTAATGACAATATAAAATATGTTTGCCCCAGAACTCAAACCTGAAAGAATTTTGCCCAATATACCGTTTATTTACACAGCATAGATGTTTAAATATATGCGTTTATTTCTTAGCAAAGGCTGCAGGAAAGGATAGTTTGTCTTTATTTAGAAAATATGGATGTTGTGCTCGTTCCTGTTGAAACAGTGTAGATTGACCCTGAGGTTCTGGTGCCTTTCGGCCACCCCTCAATGTACATTGGTTATTGCCTGGCCACCCCTGTTAGGATTTTCTGGCTACGCCTCTGCAGTTTAGCGGCCATTAATTAGATTAATTAGATAGATAGATAGATAGATAGATAGATAGATAGATAGATAGATAGATAGATAGATAGATAGATAGATAGATAGATAATTTTTGTTTTATAACATGTTTGGGTGTTTTTTTTTTAAATCTTTTTGTTTGTTTGTTTTTTAAGGGGGGTTGTTGTCACTTCTGATATTTCCAAAGAGTGACGCTGCATTTTCCAGGCTTTTCGACGACCTTTGAACTAAAAAGGATCAACTGCGTAACGATGCCTGTTTCCTAATATAGTTTTTTTTCCCCCTCTTTCTTCGGATCAGCGCGCAGCTGCTGTTAATCAGGAACTTTGATCGCTATCTGGGTCCAACAGAAAGGGGGCTGGGTTTTTAGGCAGCTGAGGATCAGGTCGGGCTGGAGTTTAAATGCGCTTCCAGGCTGAAATCGGGCAGATGCAGCAAGGATAGCAGGAGGATGGCGATGGGGCTGATCGGGGACGCAGTGGCCACCGTGGGTGGCCTCGTCACGGGAGTTCTTAATTTCTTCACGGACTTTTTTCTGACTCCACCTCTGAAAGCGACTCTGATGTTCTTGGAGGAAACGGAGCTTAAAACATTGAAAGGAGGTAAATCAGCGTCTTTAAATGTGAAACAAATGAAATCATCCTAATTATGACGCGTTTAAAGAAGCCATTGTGCTTTTGGATCACATGATCTTTAATCTGTTGCTCCACTCTTACCCTCTAACCCCATTTCTGTCCTCAGAAATAAAAACTTTCAAAGCCAAAACTCTGTGGGAGAAATCTGGAGCGGTGGTCATGGCGGTGCGGCGGCCTGGATGATTTTTGTGCAGAGAGGTAAACATAACATCTGTTCACTCTGACACAAACATTGCAAAATTATTTATGCAGTTTGCACTTGTATTTTCATTCATGCAACAAACACACACTCCACTAGGCCTTAGTCGCACTAAATGAAGTGATAGAAAAACACAATTTCCACAAAAAGAAAATAATTAAAAGCAATCCACTGGACTTGGTTTCCAAGTTAGAAAACGTTTTGCTTCCCATCCAGGAAGCTTTTTCAATTCACTTGAAACTTCTTCAAACTTGGAAACCAAGTCCAGTGGACTGTTTTAAATTTTTTCTTTTTTAAGAACAACTATGACCTGGATGACTAGGAATCTCCACCAGCATACACTGCAAGAAATGGGTAAAGATTTCTTAAATTAAGTGTTTTTAGTCTTAGTTTGAGTAGGTAAGAGGATTTGCCAATGGAATAAGTATTTGTATTCTTAAAATAAGATAATTAGATAAAAACTCACTTGAAATAAGACAATGCAATTGTTTTTTCTTATTTTAAATGTAAATTGTCTTGTTTCATTGGCAATTTTTATTCTTTACCTCCTTAATCCAAGATCAAATACACTTTTTTTTTCCAGTTTTGTAAAGTGGTTGGATGATTGAGTTTCCTTCTTATTGCTGGTGAAGATTCTCAGTCATCCAGGTCATAGTCATTCCAAAAGAAGTTAGAAATGTCCTTATTGTTTAAGCATATTACAGTGAAAAAAAATAATGCAACAGCTTTTGGCATTTACTTGATCATATTATTGACTTTAACACAATTTTTTTTTAATGTCCTACCCTGCTGAAACATGAAACAATTGTTTTAAAGTAACTAAATATGATTAAGTCAATGCCAAAAACGGTTGCCTAATTTTTTTTCAGTGTAATAGGCTTTTTTTCTGAAGCATTTCACTGTTGCTCTGGTTGGAAGTTCAAGCTTTTCTCTTGCTGGAAGATTAACTTCTACCCGAATGTAACCTCTAAGAATTGGCAAAGTATAAAATGATGTCATTTTGTATTTCAGATTTTTTAATATTTTCTTTTCCCCAACAGGAGGCTGCAGAGCTGTCCTCTCTGAAACCCCAGCTGGACAAGCTGGGGGTACCTCTGTACGCTGTGGTGAAGGAGGACGTCGGGACCGAGGTCCAGAACTTCAGACCATACTTTAAGGGGGAGATTTTCTTGGATGAAAAGGTTAAGGCAGTTCTATATTATGAATTGACTCATTGTTGGAGCCCGTTTGCCTTGGAGGAATAAAAGAAAATTAGAACTCTTCCTAGACCAGATTCAGCTAGTTTTACCAGCATTCTGAAAACAGCAGGCTTATTGAGTTTCTGTGATGAATCTGTTTAAGTGCGCATGACTGACCAAAGCTGTTTTGATTTCAGAGGAGATTTTATGGGCCCCGTCTCCGGAGGATGGGGCTCCTGGCGTTCATGCGTTTGGGAGTCTGGCTGAGTGGAGTGAGGGCCTTTAGAAAGGGCTTCATTGGGAATGTTCTAGGGGAAGGGTTTGTCCTTGGTGGGGTGTATGTCATTGGAAGAGGGCAGCAGGTAAATATAAATTATGAAAATCTATGTAATCAGACATTTTCACTTTTAAACAAATTGTTTTTGTCCTGCAGGGAATATTACTGGAGCACAGAGAGAAGGAGTTTGGGGATAAAGTGGACATTTCAGAAGTCCTCAAAGCGGCAAGAAAAATACCACAGTAAAACTAGAAAGCACATTTTTACATTTGTGTCTCGGAGCGTAAGGGTGCGTTTTGTATGACTGATCACAAAGCTTCAGGTGTATTTATGATGGTCTGTTTTTAAACTCAGAAAAAGGAGCAGACCTGATGTTTCACACCAAGTTTCCTGCATGACTGTTGTACTGCAGTGCAACCTTGGCACCAGACACTGACCTTTCAGAAAAATAAAATATCTTTTTTCTCTGGTCTGTCTCTGTTCTTTTGTAAAGCTCCACAGATCCAAATTTCTTGATGTGACTTTGCTGCTACTTTCCTCTCTAAGGTTGTTAAAGTTTAGGTCTCTAATGAATGAGGATATTGTTTGTTTGTTTTTTTCCTTTTTTAAACAGCAGAAATGCCTTTTGACCTTTCTACGTAAGTTTTCAGGCCTGATTGAAACTTAAGCAATTGTAACAAAAGTACTGCTCTTTAAAACAGCCTCCCTTGAATTAGTTAAAATCATGGGATTTTTTTTCTCATTTATTTACAGCTGCAGTCTAAGCAATTTCAGGGATATGCTATGCATAAATGTTTTATCTGTAAATGTTTCTGTCCTCAAACATTTCTATATCTAATATTAATGAAGAGCTTTCAAGATTAATTCTCATATGCTGGAAAATATTTTAGTGCGATACTAAATGTCACAGTACGCTCAGGAGAAGAATGCCATTTGAAGCAGTGCAGCTTGTGCGAAATTGTTTCGGTTTAACTAGCTACTTGGACTGTTTTATGTTTTTTGGGAGGGGTTCAGTAAAGTAATTCAAGGTTTTTACTCGATTAGCATTACAGTACTTAAAAATATAATCTGGAAATAAAGTTTGTAACCTATTTTTTTTTTTTTTCTTCAAAAAGGTAATTAGTTACTGAAAGAAAATACTTATTGGGTGACGTCAATAAGCAGATGATCATACTGGATTTTAAGGTTATTGGACTGAAGGAGGCTGAATACATGCACAAGTGAAAGATTTTGTGTATTTTAAACCTCTTTATTTGCTCCTTTAGTTTTATGTAGTATTGCCTGCATCTTTTAAATTTCCAGCATTTCTGAAAATGGAATGCTGGAATGCTGCTTTATTGGTGCTGATCTAATATAAAACCACATCCTAAACCCAATTTAAAAGTTTTGATTCTGTTTCCAAATGCAGTTGTGTTAATTGGACAAAGTTAAATCATTTGGTGGGGTTACATGTGCAAAGTACATATCTTGTTATAACATGCACATCTTTAAGCATTATCCCCATACAAGTTAAATGTATTTTGTTGTAATGCGGACTAACAGGTGACGTACCTTCAGTCAATTATCCCTTCCATCCAATTAGACCTCCCTATATTCTAACGATTCAGCCAATGAAAGTCACCTGAAGGTGGCGCTTTGTTGGACAGAAAAGCCAGGTTAGTTGGAGCCTTTTTCTAACGTGAACGTGGATGTGTGAGCTATTTACAGGGTTTAGTTTCTCTATGCAACTGAGATTATTTAAAGGAACTGTCTTTTTTAAGTTGGAGCTTGGTAAAGAACAGGAAAGAGTTCACTTGAATCGGCTTTATCCGATATATAATATCAAAGATGTGTTTTTATTTCATTTTCTACTTTCGTTTGTTTTCTTTAAAATGATTCTTGAGTAAATTAAATTTCTTTGGAACAGCCGTAGTTCTACCCTGCGCTGTCCAGGGTCCTGGAGAAAGCTAAGGGAACCCCAAAGTGACGACATGTGGACAGACTCTCATCAAGGGTTAAGTTTAGTGTCACGTAACTATGGAGACAGCATGTGACTTCCTGGCTGTAGCGGATCAGGTCTGCATTAGATAACCCGATGAAATCCTATTTCTGACCTTACCTGCTGCAGTTGAAATCCTCCCTGACTCAGACTCTGTCATGGGAGGTGATCTGAGGAAGCTTGAGGACAGCAGGACTGATGGTGTGTCAGGTAAATGTTTTGTTTTTTTGTTCGTCTGGAGGTAGGGACCGGTGAGGGCGACATGGAGATGAATGGACCAAAGTGCGACTATACAACGCCAAAGAGTAAAATATGTCAGAAAACCATCTGCATGAGTTGATTCGAAATACCACAAAAACACCTAAACAGGCATTTCAGTTTCTTAAAATTTTATTTAATTAAATTCTAAAAGTGAATGTCAAGTAACATAGTTTAGCCTCACATAATGATACATTTCAAGTGTTTATTTCTATTTTTGTGATTATGGTGAGTACTGTAGATTAGGAAAACACCAGTATCTCAAAATCACAATTAGAAACACATTTACAAATGTAAATATTATTGTAAAACTAAACACTTTACATTTGTTCAGCAAATAATTCAAGCAACAAAAGGTCATCACTTTCAAATTTGGCTTTTTAGTGCACTGTTTCCAAGCATATTAAAGGAAATTCATAGAGAAAAAATAAATTGTATTATACAAAAAAAGTGTACAGCAATGAGAGATAGCTATTGCTTTGAGAGGAATAGCAAATTTTTTGACAGTTGGATTTCTTGTGTTAAGCGACTCCTGAACCGAGTGTCTTACCTCAGCTAAAGAGAAAATGGACTGGACTATTGCTCCTGTGTTTAAAGTCCCTTTATCATATTTATCTTAATATTGTATTTTATAGGGAAATCAAAATTTGAGAGATTAAGACTGAGAAACAGAATCCAAGTCATTTGTAGACCAGTTTGAAGTCCCATTCAGTGATGATTTTGGAAACCCTGTTTTCTGTCAATTACAGGCGCTTGAAGCGTTGTTGACACACAATAGTAGCTTTGTATACTCTGTACAGCTTATCCCCGCAATACCCAATTTTCTGGCTGAGATTTGATCCAAATATATCAAATTTTACTCCAGTTTCTCACTCTTATCTCTTCAGCTTTTACGGGGTCAACAGTAAAAACCCTATCCTGCGTATGAAAGGAGCTTTCAGAGAGTCTTCAGCCTGATAGACGTCATAATGTGGCAAACACTCACATGGATGATTAGTCAAATTGGGACTACAGCCTTCTGGATAAAAACGACAAAAAAAAAAAAAAAGTTTCGAAAATGTCACGAACAGCTAAAGCTCTGCATTATAAAACCTAAAACATATTAAGGCGTGTACATTAGCATGTATCAGACAGAGTACATGTCACAAAATAATGTATTTTTATCAAACTCCATGAGGTGTGGGAAACTATATAGCTCCTAGTGGCAGCTTGGGATGATAGCAGGTCTCTATGCTAACTGTATTTGCACAAGAAACATAGTGTTTCCTGATCTTAGCTTCTTCCTTAGCACTAATTAAAGTGACTGA